AGCTCTGTGGTTATGCTTGCTCCTGGGATCGTGTCTTTAAGCACCATGATCCAGACTTGGTATTTTCAAGTTCTGTTAGTCCTTATAAGAGAAAAGACTTGATAATTTCTTCACACTTTTCATTTCTAAAGAAATAAATTGTTTCCCAAGTCTCTGTAACAGCTTGTCACAGACTGTGTGGCTGTAAATAACAAAAATGCTTACTCGCAGTCTGGAGAGCTCTTGAACTGGGATCTAGTTTGACATGACTACAGCCATCTTGTTTATAATTGCCATCTTTTCAGCAGGTTCTCCTGGTGGACATCCTAAACCCTATAGAAGAGTCATCAAGACCCGCAGTTAATGCACTGCCTAACTGACCCTTGATATGTCACTAGATTTTTTCTTTTTTTGTCTGAGACAGGGTCTCCCTGTAGCCCCAGCTGTCCTGGAACTCACTATGTAGACCAGGCTGGCCTTGAACTCACAGAGATCTGCCTGCCTCTGCCTCCTGAGTGCTGGGACTAAAGGCGTGCACCACCACGCCCGGTATGTCACTAGATTTTTAAGGATAGGTATATTCCAGTTGTCTGCAGGTCACCTTTGTCTAGCATAATACAAACACCTTTCCCTCTACCCCACCTGCTTGGCCATCCAGCTTCTGCCCCAAATGTTTTTTTTTAATATTTTATTTATTATTTTTATTTTATGTCTGTGAGTGTATTGCCTGCATGTATGTTAAGTGTACCCATATTGGGCAGTGGCCGAGGAGGTCAGAAGGGGGTGTCAGATCCCCTGGAACTGGAGTTACAGATGGTTGTTAGCTGCCATGTTGGTGTTGGAATTGAACCCAGGTCCTCTGCAAGAGGAGCCAGTGCTCTTAACTGCTGAGCCATCTCTCCAGCCCCCTGCCCTAAAGTCTTAGAATAACAGTCTTTTGTGCATTCCTAGATTTGTCTACCTTAAGTTCCCAGCTGCTTTGGTGGCCAGTTCTTCTCCCCTGTATGTTTCTCCACACTAAGCTAAACAAAGCAAGGTGAGGTTGACAGGTCCTCAGTCACTCCTGAGGCCCTAGGCAGACTGTGACTTCCCTCTTCCACCTCTGGTGGTTGCCGGCATTCCTGGGCTCATAATCTCATCTTCCTAATGTCTGCTGTGGTCACAGTGTTTCTCCTCTGTGTGTCTGTTTTCCCTCGTTCCTTATAAGGATGCAAGTGATGACAGGGCCCACCCAGATAATTTAGGGTGCTCTTCTTGTCCTCAAGATTCTTCATTTAATCGCATCTGCATACACAGTCTCTCAAGAAAGCTTGCTTTGGAGACAATGAGCAGAATTTGAATGTAGTTCCTTAATCAGGTTTCTAGCCTCTTGTACTTCACATCATCTGAAAATAGAAAAGTCTGCCTGTCTCAGGAGGGTTTGGAGAAGGTTAAGAAAAAACAATGCCATTCAAATATTTCTTGCTTGGCATTTTCTTTTCTTGGGCCCAGAGCCTTGTTTGACTCATCTTTATAATTCGAGGGCTCTACCAGTCCTGGGTACATTGTAGCTGTGCGACAAATGTTCACTGAGTACTTCCTGCCCTCTGAAGGCCAGTGTAGCTTTGCACTGTCATGCACTGAACCCACAGCTTGGGACATTGGGCAATGACTCATCCAGAAATACCCTGTGTATAAATGCCAAGTGTCAATAACTTAGCAACCAGGGACACCTGGGTGGAACAGAGCCCTCAACCCTGTGGTTTCTGTGCACATAAATACACTAAGGGAGCGCAGAGAGGATGAGGGAAAGGGCTGTGGACTGAGAGAGAAGTAGAGATGGAATATAGTGTCCAGTGTCAGTGCACACACAGAAGCTTCATGAAAGATTGAGTTCACCCACTGTTTTGGTACCTTGTGTCTTGTCTGTGCACTTAACCAGTGTGAGTGGCTTTCTGGTGTGGGCACCCCACATTGCTGTGAGGTCCTGTCCAGCTGCACAGTAGCCATACAGTCACAGGAGTGAGGTAGTGATGGTCTCTCTTTGTGGCTTCCCATCTTGCATTCATTCAGGGTTTGAAGGTTGCAGCTCCAGCCTCCTGCCAACAGAATGTCACGGTAGGGCAGTTACTGATCAGGTCCTGGCTTTGGTTGATGAGTCATGTGGCTGAGAGTGTTCCTGAACCAGAAGCTATCCTGAAGATCACCTCAATGACTCATAAAGCTTCAGTGACCCTGAGACCCACCCCTGCCTGGCTGGCTGTGCAAGGAGGAAGATGTTGGGAGCCAGGAGAGGCAGTGAAGGGACCCAGGGAAGTGTAGGAGGAGACATGGAAGGAGACACAAGCTGCAGCCCAGCCAGTGCTGGACTAGAGAGCAGCTCTGCCCACGTGGAACAAGGAGAAATGCTCAAAGCGGCACACTCAGAGCCCACACTCACAGAGCTTACACTCAACAGAGCCCACACTCACAGAGCCCACACTCACAGAGCCCACATTCACAGAGCTCACACTCACAGAGCCCACACTCACAGAGCCCACACTCACAGAGCTCACACTCACAGAGCCCACACTCACAGAGCCCACATTCACAGAGCTCACACTCACAGAGCCCACACTCACAGAGCCCACATTCACAGAGCTCACACTCACAGAGCCCACACTCACAGAGCCCACACTCACAGAGCTCACACTCACAGAGCCCACACTCACAGAGCCCACATTCACAGAGCTCACACTCACAGAGCCCACACTCACAGAGCCCACACTCACAGAGCCCACACTCACAGAGCTCACACTCACAGAGCCCACACTCACAGAGCCCACACTCACAGAGCTCACACTCACAGAGCCCACACTCACAGAGCTCACACTCACAGAGCCCACACTCACAGAGCTCACACTCACAGAGCCCACACTCACAGAGCTCACACTCACAGAGCCCACACTCACAGAGCTCACACTCACAGAGCCCACACTCACAGAGCTCACACTCACAGAGCCCACACTCACAGAGCTCACACTCACAGAGCCCACACTCACAGAGCTCACACTCACAGAGCCCACACTCACAGAGCTCACACTCACAGAGCCCACACTCACAGAGCTCACACTCACAGAGCCCACACTCACAGAGCTCACACTCACAGAGCCCACACTCACAGAGCTCACACTCACAGAGCCCACACTCACAGAGCTCACACTCACAGAGCCCACACTCACAGAGCTCACACTCAAGAGCCACCCCACAGATCCCACCTTCACAGAGCTCACACTCACAGAGCCCACACTCACAGAGCTCACACTCACAGAGCCCACACTCACAGAGCTCACACTCACAGAGCCCACACTCACAGAGCTCACACTCATAGAGCCCACACTCACAGAGCTCACACTCAACAGAGCCCACACTCACAGAACTCAAAGCCTACACCCAGAGCACATACTCAGAGCCCACACGCACACAGCACACATTCAGAACATGCTGAGAGCTGACACTCACAGAGCACACACTCAGAGCACCTGCAGAAAAGTTGCACACTCAGTGCACACACTCATACAACGGGCTGTGTTTCCACCAGGTGCAAGTCCTGTCTGCATTAAATGCATGATATTTAATACCTCTCAATGCCTGCTTAGGAGTCAACAGACCTTTTCCAATTCTGGTAATGCTTTTCAGAGTTCTTATAAGATGCTTATGACATCTTTAGTGGAAAGAAAACTTAAATGTATAGCTGTACAGCCCTGCCCTGTCCCTTATACAGAGAACACAGGCTCCAAGACCCCCAGTGACACCTAGAACCACAAACCCTGTATGTGCTAGTTTTTTCCTTATGCATACTTACTTATGCTAACATTTAATTTATAAATTAGGCATAGTAAGAGATTAACAGCAATAATAAAATAGAGCAGCACAGCAGTGTTCTGTGGTACACATTACATGAATGTGGTCTCTTACTCTCTCTCCACATACCTTACTGCATTATGCTATGTTTTTAGACCACAGAATGTGATTAGCAGATAAGGGGAAGGGGAGACACAACTGTGTTTAAGCAGAGAAAAGTAGAACTGACCTTAGTGGACTGTTGGGCTCTGGCCAGCACTGAGTGGATGTATACACAGCGGAGATGGGATCCAAATGCTCAGAGAACTTCTACACTATTGAGAGAGGAAACTGGATGACCAGAAGCCAATGGCACACAGTTTAGAATCAAACTGTCTACCTGGAGTTTAGTAAAAGGGCCAAATTGGGCAAGGCTACTGAGAACTGGCCTGATGGGATTGCTTCGTGCATTTCCTCAAAGCTGATGGCAACACTTTCTGGCCAAGGATTGGATGTTCACCAGAGGATGGAATACAGTCCCCTGTGCCTGTCGAATGTATCTTGTAACAGAGAACTAGATTAGCAAACGATTATAATCATAACAAAGTCTACAGACACACATGGCAAGAGCGCTATTGGAGGTGAGGGTGACTGAGCCCCTCACTGGAGGAACCCACTGCCAAAGCCAAAAGAGTTCCATAGCTAGGCCTCCTGAGCACATCTGCAGTCTCAGCTACTTAAAGAGGAGCTGGTTTAAGAGGATCATTGGTTTGAGGCCAGCATGGACCACATAATGGGACCCTTTATCAAAAAAAGAAAAAGAGGCCAGTGTGATGGCTAAAAGGAGCTTGTCTCCAAGCCTGAGGACCTGAGTTCAATCCCTAGGTCCCACATGGTGGAAGGAGAACATGCAGTTCCCACAAGTTGTCCTCTGACCTCCACTTGTGGCATGTGTACATGTGTGTACACACACACACACACACACACACACCAAAAAATAAATAAATAAAATGAAAAGAATTTAAAAAGGGTTCTCTGTGCTTAGGCTATTTTTACAGCCCTACAGCAAATTGGAGTGCATTCTTGGCGAACTACTCTCTTCTGTACTGCTTGATCTGTGCATGACAGCGGCATAGGAGAAAGTTGCCTGGGGGATCATGATGGTGAGTGATGTTAAGCACAGGTCACAGCCGTAATTGTGCTTTCCCCTTTTTTCCTAGTGTCAAATCAACAGTGCCTTGACTTCCTTCCACACTGCTTTGGAACTCGCGATAGACCAGAGGGAGATCCAGCACGTCTGTCTGTATGAGATCGGTAGGTGTGAAATGCCCGTCCGGCTCGGCAGTGCTCTAGTGGTCACACTTTCCCGTGCAAGTCTTCATTTGTACTGCCCTTCGGTTCATCTTCAGAGTGCCACCTTGCATGATCAGAACTTCGATTGTTACCTTTGCACGCTGTGATGTTGGTCTCATTCTCCATAGGCCTTTGTAGCATTTTGACTTGGGGATAATGGACGGTGTGGGGTGAACTGACTACCGTGCCTTATTGTACTCCACATTAAAAGGCAGAGCTCTTTGTTCGCCTTTCCCCCATGCTTACTTGGGAAAAAAGTAGAGGCTAAGAGAGATGGACCCTGTGCTGGATAACTTCAGTTGTCAACTTGACACACCTGGGAAGAGGGAGCCTCAGCTGGGAAAGTACCTTTACTAGACTGACCAGTAGGCATGTCTGTGAGGCATTTTCTTGATTGTGGAGTGATGTGAGAGGACCCAGCCCTCTGTGGGTGGCGTTAACCCTGGGCAGGTGGTTCTGAGTTGTATAAGAAAGGAGTCTGGGCATGGGCCAGAGGAGCAAGCTGGCAAGAGGCATCCTCCATGGTCTCTGCTTTAGCTCATGCCTCCAGGTTCCTGCCTTGAGTTCCTGTCTGACTCCCCTCAGTGATGGATTATGACCTGGCAGTTCTAAGCTGAAATAAACCCTTTCCTCCCCAACTTGTTTTTGATCAGTGTTTTATCACAGCAATCAAAAGTTAACTAGGACAGACTCCAATACTAGCTCTTCCAACCATCCATCCCTGCGACCCTGGGCAAGTTGCCTAAGCCTTCTGAACCATATATTGCTCTTAGAGTGATGGCACCTCCCCTTGTAGCAGCCAGGAGGGTCAGCTGCCAATGTGGCCAGGTATATGGCACGTAGAAGGCCCTCCGCAAAGTCAGATTTTTCCTTCTGCTTCTCCTTCACTGGAGATTAATTCATAAAGGGACTTGAAGTGTGTATTTGATAGGATTTCCCCCTCTCCCAAGTTGCTGCTGAGTCCTTTGCTGGCTGTATGCACTCAACTCTCTGACCCTGGAACATGAGAAATTTCAGAATCCTTTTGTGTAACTATGTTTCCATTATGCTGAGAAGAATAAATACAAAGGTTTCATCCTTTTATCAGTTTCATTTTGGCTCAGTGTTGTAAGGCTGCCTCATACAGCACAGGAAAAGAATGGGGGGGGGGCAGTGATGGGAATGAAAAGGAATGTTGGGATTCACGGCTTTGTCCAGAACAGGGAAGAGGAATTGGAGTCTGTGAGGGAAGCAGATGGCACCTGCCCTCACTCTCCAGCCCCACCTCTCACTCACTCCACTTTCTGTGGACATGACCATCTCCCTGAGTCCTTTTTAAGAAAAGTACAAAGGAATGGACTAGTACCTGTACAATGAGCAGTTTTGATGCCTGTTCTTGTTCAGGGAGAAGAGATGATAGAAAAATAGAAAACTGTCTTTTGTGTATTCTCAACCGTTTTGGAGGTCTATGTCATAGCTGTGGCTTCCAGTGAGATGTCTTTCAAAGAACTTGCATTTCAAAGCCCAAATTGGACAGCCCTTCCTACTCCATCATTTCGAGGCGTATAGTAGGGGAGAGCTAAGGAGCTTGAGGGTTAGCTTAGGAAGCTTGAGGGAAGCTTAGGAATCAGCTGCTTTAAGAATGTGGACTCTTGGGGCTGGAGAGACGGCTCAGTGATTAAGAACATTGACTGCTCTTGCAGAGGACCTGGGTTTGATTTCCAGCACCCCCATGATGGCTAACAACTGTCTGTAACTCCAGTTCCAGGGATCCAGTGTCCTCGTCTGACCTCCATGGGCACTGCGTGACATAGGTGCACTTACACTCATACATATAAAATAAAAATCCGGTATACTCATACACATAAATAAAATAATATTAAAATATGTTTTAAAAAGAGGGTGGACTGGCGAGGTCTAGCAATTCAGGCTTTGTCTTCTGGCTTGGTGGCTACCTTCTGCCTCTGTCCTATAATTAATGCAGATTGTACCCTGATAGCTATTGTAGAGGGAAAATAACCCACATTTTCAGCCTAAAATATGCCAAGATTGTGTCCCGTAGAGTTGGACTGAATTTTCTGGAGTGTATAGATACAGTTTCTTAGTGATGTGCTTGATGCAGAAGTTTTCTCCTTTTGTGGTTTTGTTCCTAAGTTTGGTTGCTTGGTTTGGTTTGGGGGTTTCTCTCTTCAGTACAGACTGGCCTCAAACTCACAGCAATACTGCCTCAGCCTCCCAAGTGCTGAGATGGCAGTCTTGGTTTATAGCCTTCTTTTTATAGTGGCAGTGTTTTATGATGGAAGAGGGTTGGCCCTCCAACCACAGTTCTTCCCTCTTAATAACTTTGTGGCCTTGAGCAAGTCACCGGCCTGTGGCTTTCTCCTAGCTAATACAAGGACAGCACGAGCAACCTGTGCAAAGTCCGGGCAAGGAGCAGCAGGCTTCAGGTTCTCACTTGAGTCCCAAGGGAGGGACGAATGAGGAACGGTGTGATGGACTTTCTTTTAGTGGCTGCAGCGCTGAGCAGAAGGGCAGTCTGACAGGGTTTGGATGGAGGAAGCTGATCCTTGCTCAGTCTCATTGTCTGCATGCAAGAAGAGAGTGGCAAGAGCCTAATTTCTGACTGACTTGGATTCTGCTTCTACAAAGGTTGAGAATTGGCAGTGGTGGTTGTTTAGTCCAGTGAGTGTGTTTTGGTTTTGTTGTTTTTTGAGACAGGTTTCCCTGTAGCCCTAGCTGGCCTAGAACTCGCTATGTAGACCAGGCTGCCAGGCTAGCCTCAATCTCACAGAGATCCAACTGCCATGGCCTCCCAAATTCTGGAACTAAAGGTGTGCATCACCACTCCCGGCTCTCCTGTACTTCTTAATTAACTATGAAATCCTATGCCTTATCTAGGTCAAACTTTACAGTGAAAGTATTTAAGGGGAAAATAATTCCTTAACTTTCCAAGTTCAAGGCTTTAAGCACTTCCAAGAACATTCACAGAAGGGTTGAAGACGTGTAGTTTAAATGTAGGCCATGGAGTTCCCTACCTTTGGGTGATGCACTAAGCTCTCTGTCTTAGGGTAGTTCACTAAGCTCACTCCCTTAGAGTAGTGTACTAAGCTCACTACCTTGTGTCCTAAAAGTGCTTCATTCATAGGCTGGTGCAGCATGATTGAGCTCAACTTCAAGGACGCATTTGATTCCTTCGAGAGACTGAAAAGCGAGTCCAGGTGGTCGCAGTGTTACTATGCATACTTGACTGCAGGTGAGTAGCTGTCCCGGGTTGTGCGGGTCTCTCTCTGTGGCCAGTTGGCTCCCATAGCCTCAAAGATGGGCACGGAAGGGGGAGGAAGCAGAGGTTCCAGTTCTTCCCATTTCCCCAGCACATTAATGTTTGGTGCCCCAAGTAAATTGTGTAGAAATGCACTGTGACCCTGCTGAGCACCTAGAAACTCAGTGCTGTACCCAGTCAGTGTCACACTCCCCTCTGGGCCTGTTTAGGCCTTAGAAATATTAGTTGTGAGGCTGTTTTTGCTCTCTTAATGCCAACCCCCTTCTTTGTCATTTTTGTGCGCACACACGCACACGCGCACGTGCGCGTGTGTATGTGTGTGTGTGTGTTTGTGTGTGTGCCTGTACGCCTGCATATGTGTATATTTAAGATTATTTTATTTTGGATTATGTGTGTGTTTGTGCACATGTGGGTGTAGTGCCCACAGAGGGCAGAAGAGAGCATCAGATTTCTTGAGTTACAGGCAGTTGTGAGCCACCCAACATTGGTACCAGGAACTGAACTCAAGTCTTCTGCAGGAGCTGTAGATGTTCTTAACCACTGAGCCATCTCTTCATCCCCTATATTTTTTATTTATGAAGACTTTAAAGTATTTTCAGAATTGAATGTGTCTTTTTCATCGTGTTGGTATTTTTTAGTTGGTGCTCTATTTATGAAGTTGTACAAGCCTAGAGCTAGAGTGTGTGCCAGCCCCGCTTTACCTGTTAACCATGTCATGTTGCCAAGGTGATGTCAAGGATGGAAGTATCTCAAACACTGCCTATCATTACAACAAACACTCATCCTTTCTGTTTTGAGTGATTTTTGCTTTTTGACGCGCTCTTTTGGGATAGTTGATGCTGTGCTGCCACCTGGTGGACAAAGTTGTTCTTTGTCTTTGTGATACACAAAATGCTTTGTGGTTTAGAATTACAGAGGTACAGAATTTTATACAATATTTTGATCATATCCAACCTCTTTTCCCATCTCTCTTATCCACCCCCACCTCTCTACTTCCCCCTACACACACACACACACACATACACACACACACACACACACGTACACACATATTCTCAGGCTAGCAAAATGGCTCAGCAGCTCAGGCTCCTGCCACAAAGCCCAACATCCTGAGTTCCATCCCTGGAACCCCATAGTGGGAGAGAATCAACTCCCACAAGTTTTCCTCTGACCTCTACATGTGTACTATGGCACATGTGCCCAAACACATACATAAATAGATAAATACTAAAATAAGTCTAATCTATTTAAAAAAGAATGTTCTCAATGATGTGAGGAAGACCTCAAACTAAAGGCAGCAAAAATACCCCATTCCCTCCGGTTTGTGGGGCCTTGGCAGTACTTCTCTCCTGACCCTCTTCCTTCCTTGATCTGTGGAGACAGCTGGTGACACAGACCATCATTGAGTTCCGGTGCTGACGTATTACTGCTGCAGCGGATGGGATCGTTTTGGATTGCTGCACATTCCACATCTGGACTAGGGGTGCTCCTGCAGCTGGGAATGGGAGGCCCCTTCCTCTCTGAACTGTCTTACTCCCAGGAATCTCCTGCCTTTCCCGTCACCTTGAAATTTGGTTGTTGTTGTTTGTTGTTGAATTTTTGTGTATTTCATATAGAACATCTTAGTCATCTTTATATCCCCTTCCCCCACTGAAACCCTCCCATAACCCCCCCCAACCACACACACTAGAATTCATACATTCTGTCATTAAGACCTATTGTGTCAAGTTAGTGTCTCCAGATGTTCCTCAGTGCAAGTTCATCTACTGAGGTCTAGTCAGCCTATCTATCTTCCCTTGCTTTAGGAAGATCAGCTCTTCCTCACCCAGCAGTAATCAGTTGCCAATATTTCTTCAGCTAAGATTGGGGTCAGCTAAGACTGGGTTTTTGTGTGCTTGAGTTTGCATGTCTATGGATGTTGACACCATTGCTACAGGGTCCCAGGAACTTGTAGGACTCTTTCCATATGGTCATGCACCTCCTCCCTGGTTCTTATGGAGACTATTACAGAGTACCACAACTGGTTTCACACACACATTGTCTGTGAATTATTCAAGTCTAAGCAGCACAGCTACATTGCACCCTCCATACCTAAGGCTCACAGAACATAGAACAAGGGGTAAAGAAAATAATGAATACATCAATTTTCATTAATGAAGCTCCTCATTGCAACAGATTGCCAGGAACACAAAAGATCACAAATGGCCAAAGGATAGAGTCTAAGAGTCCTCAGAATGCTGGTTCTTGGACAGGACTTCTATATTAAACTACACCCACCCAGGGTTCAGGGACCATTGCGGAAGAGGGGACAGAAAGATTGGCTTTTTTTGCACCCAGGCGCTCTAGTTCTTGAATAGAGAAGGCACAGCTGGCAGGCCAGTTTTACCCTTGTGGAGCTGGGGTGTAAAAACCAACTCAGAGTCAAGAGCACACCTAAAGAAAGAGGGGTCACTGCACATTCACTGCTGCAGGAGTTGGGAGGATAAGATGGCGGGCCTTTTCATTAAGAAGGTGGCCGATGCTGCCCGTGAAGTCTGGAGAAGGGAGAATGCAGATGAAGTCAAGGGAGAACGATTCGTCCCCAGGGTGGGACACAGGTGCTGTGCTGGCTAGTGTGTGTCAGCCATCCTCGAAGGCTCAGCTCAGCCTGAGTGCCTCATGGCTTCCCACGCTCCAGAGAGAAATGATCTTTTCTTCCCAGCTTTTTGTTGTTGGTGGCAGAGGCGTTTTTGTTGTTGTTTTGTTTTGTTGGGGGGGGTTGTTTATTTGTTTGTTTGTTTTAGACAGGGTCTCCCTGTAGCCCCAGCTGGCCTGGAACTCACTATACAAACCAAGCTGGCCTCCATCTCAGTGATCCACTGCCTCTGCCTCCTGAGTGATAGGATCAAAGGTGTGCACCACTATTCCCAGCCTTTAAAGGTACTGAGGCTCTCCTCCCCTAAAGACTGCTCTCATGATGAGCACTGAGGCTGTGTGTGTGTGTGTGTGTGTGTGTGTGTGTATGTATGTATTTTTTTTAGGTAACTGTCTGTTTCTTGGTAACTGTCTGTTTCGGATACAGGCATGTTCCAGGCACAGGCATGTGTGTACTTCCTCATACACTCCCTGGGGTAGAGAGCCCATGAACATGTGCAAACTAATCATGACTTCCCTTCCAAGACATAAATATTTCAAGATCCTCATGGTGCTCTGAGCTCCTGACAGTGTTCTTTCCCAGACCCTGTTATTCCACACACTGAAGATAAGGGCTCCAGCTAGCGTGTACACTGTGACAAGAGCTGAACATTTTGTTATATGCAAGACCATCTCCCCTAGAAAGAGGATGTGTCCCACAAAGCTCTTGAAACACAGGCACCTGGGAAAGAGTTGAATCTGGGGTGGAGTCACCGGGATGCCGTGGTCTTTTCAACACAAGTTGCTCATGTCCTTTCCTTGGCACCCTCGCCTTGCCTGTCTCTCAGCAGGCATCCCCTGAAACACCGTGGAAATGCAATTCTGGTTTCTTACAGTCTGTCAGGGAGCCACCGGCGACGTGGATGGGGCGCAGCTCGTCTTTAAAGAAGTTCAGAAACTATTCAAACGGAAAAACAATCAGATTGAACAGTTCTCGGTGAAAAAGGTATGTATGTTGGAGCATGTCAATAATGTATGTCATCTGTGATGGACAGATGTAACCAGCACCTTAGGCCTTGGACAGACCTTAGGCCATCCTCTTTAAACCCAGTGACTCACCACAGGAAATGCAGCCATGGCCAGGGAGTGTGTCCTGCTTCTCTTCTGAATAGCAGGTGCCACACGTAGCTAAAGCAGCCTTGTGGGTTTGATTTAATGAGTAGATATTCCAGACCCTGCAGAGCTCACAGACCTTTCTGGAAAGAGGCAGTATCTGTCCGAAGCTAGGTCCCTGATGAAGAATGCAGATCAGCAGACACGAGAGGTGGAGACACTGCATGCCAGGATAAAGACCATGGCACATTTTGACATGATAAAGCCGTTATGACAGATATGGCATTGAGTCTACCAGCAGAAGGCTTGGGACTAAGGGGGATGTCTCACAGTTATTCTGCATTTGACACTAAGATTTTTCTGAATAACCTTGAGTTATGTCATAGCATGTCATATCCTGAGTTATCCTTGACTTTAGTTTCATAAGTTTTCTTTTATTTCAAAAGCATGCTTTTTTTAATGTTTCATTAGTTTTTATTGAATGGACAATTAACGAATTTGTTCCAGTGTAAAATAGCTTGAAGGGGCTGGAGAGATGTCTCAGTGGTTTAAAACAAAGTGCTACTTTGCAGAGGATCTGTGTTCAGGCCTCAGCACCCATGTCGGAAGGCTGTAACTCCAACTCCAAAGGATTTGAAACCTTTGGCATCTGTGGGTATTTGCACACGTGTGCACAGACACACACAGATACACATGTATAATTTTTTTATCTTAAAAAAATAGATTTCAGGGCTAGTTAGGGGTGTAGCTCAGTGCTGGAACACTGGCCCAGCATATATACAGCCCTGAGTTTGGTTCTCCAGAAATAAATAAATGCATAAATAAAATTAAATTATGATGCAGAATGCAGCTGAGGGCCATAGAGCTAAGCAGAATATTTAAAAGTCAGCAGAACCACAACTAAAATGTGTCTAGTCTTACATCCTCCATGGAGACTCACGAGTTACTGATGGCCACCCAACTTGTATGACTTCAATTTAAACTAGAATGAATTTTGTTTCACATCCACCTTTTCAGAGGTGAGACTGAGACTCAGTTGAATGATGAATGTCAGGTGTAACTATAACTAGACTAAAACAAGGCCACAAAACATTTTCAGTGCAGAGAGCATTTTCCTTTTTGACTTTGTAAGAGAGGGCCATTTACAATGACTATGAACTGTGCACTGTGAGATGTCTTCGAAGCATAGCTCTTGTTGAAGTTTCTTCTTAGAGAGCCAGGCCTAATATTCCGATGACCTGCAGGCGGAGAGGTTTCGGAAGCAAACCCCAAGCAGAGTGCTGTGTGTGCTGGCATCCATCGAAGTGCTGTACCTGTGGAAAGCCCTTCCCAACTGCTCCTTCCCCAACCTGCAGAGGATGAGTCAAGGTAAAATACACTGTGTGTCAGCAGGTTTGTCAGGACAGCTGTCCCCAGTTTCTCATCCATATTGCCTGACTTGGAGAGCACACGCTGCCATCTTGGGGCAGATGGTGTGTGATGGTAGTGTTGAGTCAGGGACAGGAGTGGGGGGCATTGGCACAGAAAGATACACTTGTCAAGAGTGCATGATGGTACTCTTGTTAAGAATGCTATTAGCTGGGCATGACGGCACATGCCTAATGCACTCAGGAGGTGGGGACAGAAGGAGTGAAATGGTGAGTTTAAGGACAGCCTGGGCTGCAGGAGGCACTGTCTCAAAAAATACAACATAACAAAAACAAAGAAAGTGAGAGAAAAAGGAAGTGGTATTCGTTTTGCATCTATGGTGGGTCTTGGGCACATAAATTTCTTTTCTTGGTGAATGTGTGGTTTCATGTTAATGTAATTCCCGTACCTTCATAAAAGGCTCTGATAGTAAAGTAGCTGATTCCTTGAGCTAGGGCAGATGCCCACAGCTGACATCTATCACAGCAGTCATGACAGAACACTTCCCGCACCCCTTATATTTTCCTTGTGCTCCTTCTCAGTCAGTCTCCAACTCCTTGTGGCCACTGTTCTGAGTTCTACATCTATAGCTTAGTTTGATCTGTCCTTGACCTTCATAGAAGTAGATTCATGCAGAATGTACTTTTTGGTGCATGGCTTCCTTCATTAAGCATCATGTCTATGGGGTTAACTACACTGTAGCTTTTATTAGTACACAATTTCTTTTCCTTGGTGAGTAGTATTCCATTGTGTAGCCATACCAGCACCATTGTTTGCTTCTTCACTGCTCCCCTATTGATGGGCATTTGAGGTCTTAAGCTACCATGAGTAAGGCTGTATAAATATGGGTATGATATAAGTCTGTAAGTCCTTTATTTCCAGGGTAAATACTTAGGGGTACAATTAGAAGCCTACATTTTTGGCTCATGGAGTAGAGAATACTTAGGACCACAGGTAATCTTAGAAAGTCATTATTATTATAGTGATAGGAAAACTTTCAGAGGGAGAACAAACTAGATCTTTACACAATGGGGCTCTGCTGATGACTAAGGAAACAATGGAAGCCTCTTCCCAAGTCCTCATGGTAGACATCTGAATGACGTTGTGTGGTCTAGCAAATTGTTTGTTTCACACTACAACTCAAAAGAGTAGGAAGGGAAGACAGTATTGTTGTGCCTGTTTAATAATGAGGAAGCAGATTGATCAGAGAAGTGATGCACCCTGTGTCCCTAGGAGCTGGAGTTGATGCTGTAGGTTGAAGACCACAGGTTGAGCACCCGAGCTCTCAGCCATCCTCCACACAGGCTCGCCTTCCTGAAATGCACGGAGGCTTAAATCTACAGTCAGAGCAAACTACAGGAGAAGAGCCTGGCATGGTGGTGCACACATCTGACCCAGGGCCTAGGGATTCCAGCCGGTGCTACATATTGCGACCCTCTGTAAAACAGAGGGGCTACCATATTAAAGCGAAAACTCGGACTCCAGAGCAATGGCTTCATGGAAAGTGTATTTGGAAATGCAGTCCCATATACTACTCTCCCCAAGGAGATTTTGTGTAGCATTTTGGACTTATTCCAGAAACAGACTGTAGGCCATTGCTTGCAGCACAGAGTTCTGTGCAGTCACGCCTGTTTCTGACTAAATCTGGGATTATACATTGAATTGCAGATTTTAAAAATCAGATTTCCTTCTAAGTGACTTTTTCCTCTCTCTCTCTCTCGCTATTCATCTGGTGGTGGGAAATTACCCCCAACTACTGGTTTTGTCATTATGCAGCTTTGTTCTGTGGTTTTTCAGTTTTGTTTCTTTTGGTAATTAAAAGCTCCCTTGATTTTTTTAGTGATTTTTGTGACTTTCATACAATATACTTTGATGGTATTTAGATCTTCCCCCACTGCCCCACAAATTTAGTGTACTTTCATATATATGTGTATGTGTGTATATGTATATATATACATATAAATATATGTATATATATACATACACACATATATACCTATATATACATATATACATGCACACACACATACACATATGTATGTCATGGCCCGTAGAGCCTGATTTGTGTCGCCAAATGTCCTTCATTATGGGTCCATCCACCGGCCCCACCAAGAATCCCATCCTTGTAAGACAAGACACTATCTTTCCCCCTCCCAGCAGCCATCAATTACTGAAAGTTCTTAGGCCGAATTGGGGTTTCTTACCCATTTCCCCATGTCTATGCTGGGATTTTGTCTGATTTGAGTTTGCGTAGGGCTTGTGCATGCTGTCACCATTGCTATGAGTCCTTTTGTTTTATTTTATTTTATTTTATTTGAGAGAGAGAGCAAGAGAGAGATTTGATTGATTGATTGATTGATTGATTGATTGATTGATTTTTCTCACTGGTCAGGAACTAGTCACCTGGGTGAGTCTGACTGGCCCAGCAAGCCCCAGGGATCCACATCTTTCTCTATTTCCCAGGCGTTGCAGTTATCAGCACATGCCACCACCATGCCTGGCTTTTAATGTGAATTGTGGGGATCAAACTCATGTCCTTGTGCTTGTAAGTGCTGTGCTATCTCCCCGACTCAACTTTTACTTATTTCTTTAAAGCAAAAAACATCTGCCCTGAAAGGTCAAAACTTTTTTTATTCCAGAGATCAAAGGCAATTCCAAAAGAAGTTTTGTATAGTGTCCCTGGAAGTAGAGTAGGAGGTACTCTCCCAAGGTGGCAGTCTGAAAGGACTCAAAATATTCTTGGCTCTGTAAGAGCTCTATGTTCATTTTTAGAAGTCTTCATCATTCAAAGCCCTTCCCTTGTTCTTGAAGCAAATGTGAAATGTATCCTATCATCTGAGTCAAAGGAACAATGAAAGACTTTAAGTAGCTTTTGATTGTGCAAGTGAGGGTTGAGTACAACACACATACAGGCCAGCCAGTGACTGACAGACACAGGGTGCTTACCACATCAGTGAGATCCCAATGCATATTCCCTGAGCCCCTTGCCAGGATTCCCAGTGAACAGATTAACAACAAAGGCATGTTCAAGGGTGAATGCAAGCTCATTCTGTAACGTCTTCATTAAAAGTGAATGCAATTCAGAGACCTGTTCATTGATCTATGGACCCCCTGTGTTAAATGGCAATGTTCAGTTGCATCCTGTTGTGCAAATTCAGTGATGGTCTTTGTAGAGAAAAAGTTTTGTTTCTGTTTTTGAATCAGAGTCTCACACTGTAGCCCAGAAACAGGTGGATCTCTGGGGCTTGCTGGCTGGGCCAGCCTAGCCAAATAAATTATCTCTGGGTTCAGTGAGAGACCCTGTTCATGAAACGAGGTTGAGAGTGATGGAGGAAGATACCCGATGCCAACTTCTGCCCTCTGCATGCACATGCTTATATGTACACCTACACATATAAACACACACAAAAAAACACATGCAAAAATTGAATTATAATTGTGCATCTACATGTGCAGACATTTTTCTTCATTCCCTAAATAATATGGTATGCTGTCTATTTATATGATAGTTATATTACATTAGGTATTGGAAGCAATTAAGGAGTGAGTTCATGTATGCAGAGGATGTTACTAGGTTCTCTGCAAACACTTGGTGATTTTATAGAGACTTCAGCATCTAGCATTTCAAGTTCAGTATCCACAGGGGTCCTTGAGCCAGTCTCCCCCAAGGATGCCAAGGGATGACGACACATAAATGCCTGGCCCCTTCTGCACTGGACCAGACCTCTGAGATCATATAAATGTCCTCATGTAGATCTATCTCATTTTTTTGGAATGGCTTTGTAGTAGGCCACTCAGCCCTAGCCTAATATATGAGCTCCAGTATTGGTAATTTAACTAGTCCCCACTTATGAACACATGAGTTATCTCCATATTTTTGCTACAATACTTTAGTCTGTTTTACTTTAATAACTTTTCTTACAGATGTATCTTTACATCCGTGAACTTGTATTCCTAAAAGTGGAATTTCTGAGTAAAAAGGCTGGGACTGTAGCACATAATTATTATAAGGCTCTTGGTTTGACCCCCAGCACCAAAAAAAAAAAAAAGAAAAAAGAAAGCTATGTGATATGCATGCACACATATATACACATGCTCACACACACAATGTGAAATTTAAAAGTTTAACACATTTGCTCTATAAGCATTTCCTCCCTCTTTCCTTTCCTCCCTCCTTCCTCCCTCTTCCTTTCCTCCCTCCTTCCTTTCCTCCCTCCTTCCTTTCCTCCCTCTTTCCTTTCCTCCCTCCTTTTTTTCCTCCCTCCTTCCTTTCCTCCCTCTTTCCTCCCTCCTTCCTCCCTCTTCCTTTCCTCCCTCCTTCCTCCCTCTTCCTCCTCCCTCTTCCTCCTTCCTCCCTCCTTCCTCCCTCTTTCCTTTCCTCTCCTTCCCTCCTGTGATTCGCTTATTTCACTTAGCATGATATCCTCAAGGTTCATCCACCTTGTTGAATATTCCAGGAGTGTGTGTGTGTGTGTGTGTGTGTGTGTGTGTGTGTGTATGTACTTACATATGTGTATACACATACATTTTGTTGAATTTCAATGTCATTATTGGACCCATAGAAACAATTCTGTTACTTCACTTATTCTTTTGTTAGCTCCACTATGGTTACAATTTCCACCTTCTCTTTCCTTGGAAAACTTGCATAGCGTCCTCCTACACATGTGGCCGTGTTGCAGGGCAGGCTTCTAGAAGTGGAAGGGTTGTTTTCATCTGTCAGTGTGGTATCACATATAAACTCAATCAAGTGTCTATTGCATGGCTTTTGTAGTTGGTATGATGCTGTTTTCACATTAATAGAACTTTTTTTAGAGTAGTTTTAGGTTCACAGAAAAACTGGACCAAGCCCAGAACATCTTCCTCTGAACCCTTCCTTCATACACGCACACACACGCACACACACACACACACACACACACACACATCAGTGTAGTGCATTTATCACAGATAAAGCAACATTACACAGGATAGCTGCCAAAGCCATGTTCACGGTGGGGCTCACCTCAGTACTGCACACCTTGCTGGTTTGGGCAGGTGTCTAACGATAGGGGCTCACTACCATAGTATCTTACAGGATAGTTTCTTCACTGCCCTAAGCAGGTGGCCCTTCACCTGTCAGTCCTTCCCCTTACCTCTGGTACCTCCTGGTATTTTCACTGTCTCTATACTTTTTTCCAGAACATCATGTAATTGGAAACATACGGTATGTGGCCTTTTCAGATCAGCTTCCTTCACTTACTGAGAATGTGATGCAATTTTGACAAGTTTAGGACTTTTTAAAAGGTTGATATTTTTGCTGAGGAGTAGCTCAGCTTGTAAAATATTTGCTGTAGAAGCATGAGGACCCAAGTTTGATCCCCAGAACCCATATTTAAAAAAAAAAAAAAACAGATGGCATAGTGGTGACCTTTACAGTCCCAGTGCTGGAGGTGGAGACAGACGGATCCTTGGGACTGGCCTGCCAGCCAGCCTAGCTGAATGGATGAGCTCCAGGCCAGTGAAAGACCCTGTCTTAGAAAACAAGGTAGGTAGGGCCCAAGGAATGACACTGGAGGTTGATCTCTGGTCTCCACACATGTGTACCTGTACACACATGAATACACACATACACACACACACACACACACACACACACACACACACACACACAGTTGGTATTTTTGCTTTTCTTTGATGAAGGAGAGACTAATGGGTGAGCAGTTTTATGAGGCGGAAGTGCAAATTGAGTTAAGGCAGAGAAACGGCTGCTTCACACCGACACCCCAGGTATTCAGTGACTGTCTTCTTCCTCTCATTCCCTGCCCCTTAAGCTTGCCATGAAGTGGACGATTCCTCTGTTGTTGGGTTGAAGCATCTGCTTCTTGGTGCCATCCATAAGTGTCTAGGAAACTCGGAAGATGCTGTTCAGGTAAACATGCTGCCATGGCTAATGTAAACAAATCGTGACCACATCCATCTGTGCTTGTCAAGGAGACAAACAGAAGCACATTCAACAAGACCGAACTGCCTGCTACAGGATGCAGTTTGTGTGTTCTATTTGATTAATGCTGTCTGCATCCATCTGTGCTTGTCAAGGAGACAAACAGAAGCACATTCAACAAGACCAAACTGCCTGCTACAGGATGCAGTTTGTGTGTTCTATTTGATTAATGCTGTCTTTTTGGATGCTGGAAGGTGATGATGGTTAATTTGGTGTTTTTAACAATT